TAGATGAGATCATTTTCTAACAATGTATTACACCTAGTATCAAAATAATGGTTACTGTTGATTATTTTTGTTATTATAAAAACAATAGAAACTTATTGGAAATTGATACTGTCTAACTGTTCTTTTGTATTAAATATTTATTTCTACATTTCATCTTACCATGCCTAATTTTAGTCCAACTTATACATTTCATTCATTTATTTAACCCATTGAGTGGCAGCACTCTCCCACTGACAAGTAAAATTGTCTGACATTAAACAGAGTAAAATAGTCAGGCATTATACAGAGTAAAATAATAAAGTCGGGCGCACCCAGGCGCATTGCCATTTTTATTGTAACCATGTGCAATGCATTCTTCTTGTATATACTTTTTCAGTCATTTTTAACCAGGTTTTTAATTTTGCAAACAATTATTATGGATTACACCGGGCTAATAACCAAGTAGCCTGCATTTTTTCGAAATATCCAGTAATATGGAATAACAAAAATTCATTAGTACCATGCACTCTGTCATTGACAAGTAACATTGTCTGGTATTAGAAAAAGTAATGGTAACGAAGGGCATACGCTACTTGCATGGTTATTAATCCTGTCTAATGCATAAAAAGTGTTGGCACGCAATGGCCTGATAATGTTCCCTTGCAGTGATGGATTTATAGGGGGTAGGACCCTGTTGGCCTTGATCTACTGGGGTCCAAAAAAATTAAATTTATTTTGTTAAATTACATATGTTTATTCAACGTTATATCTGTAAATTCTAACCAAAATAATACTAGGTGCACTTTCATGACAATATGTTGCTGGCCAGTTAGATGGGTTCAGTGTGCTTGGCTGCTCATTCAGCACCACCCTAAAAAACCTTACTGGCTCTAGCTTCCTTTGTGTCTTGTTAACCTTGTGTCTTGGTATGGACCAGTTAAAAGGAGTTGGCTATGCTCTGTATACGTAATGGCAAGTATTGCAGGCATTTTGCTTTCCCCACCAATGCCAGTCATTGTTTTCAATTTTTTATACTTTCTGCAATGATGAAGATACCTGTAACTTGTACCTGACAGTGTAAACATTGTAATGAATTACATAGCATTGTAATATATGATATAAAACTTACTCTTTTAGGTGTAATAAAACATTCAGCATAAACTTTATCTCCAGCATCCCATAACTTAAAACACTGGCCATGACTGTCATTAGTGTTTCCTTTTAGAACAATTTTAACTAGGCAAGGAGTCCTTTCCAAATGCTTTAAAAGGCCGTGATGTTTAAGTAGCAAACCATACAACTTTGCTGCTTCTCTTCTGCATTTGGCTGCAATTTCCATGCCCATACTGTCAATTTCATCAATCCGTGCAACATAAAATTCTTGATACATTTCTGAACTAAAATTGCATGAACCTTTCTGTGAAAAAATTTAAATGAACAAAATATTGAACCTCCAAACTCTTAGCAATGGACCATTCCATTTAATATAGGCAGCCTTCAATCCCCCTTAGGATGCAATTGCAATTGGATGCAATTTGTGGTCATTGTGGAAGTTACCCCAGAGGATATCTTACTAACCCCTTTAAGATATCATTTTTCCCTCTTCAATATCACTAAAATGCATATTTTTTTGCCGTTTTCTTAAAATCTCAAGCTACCCTCTTTAAATATGAAAATTTAAAATGAAGACCCCCTTCTCCCCCATTGGATGTGCGCTCCAACTATTGAAGTGTCTGGATATATTAAATGGAATGGCCCAATAGTTTCCTATAAATTTCCAGTAATACAATATTATTATATTAAGCAATCCTCAAGCTATATTCTCACATTTTCGTAAACTGTTCTGTCTGTTCATTAAACCAACCTGATCATTCATACTGTATATAAACTCCAAACAAAATACTAAATTACAATTGAAACACTTCTCGTGTAAAATGTAAATTATTGAATGAAATATTTGTTTGAAAACTTCTACATAGACTTTTAGGTCTTATCAAAACAAGACTTTTAATATAAAAGATTATAGACATATAAAATGGCGAAGTACATTCTTACCGTATTTAATCGAAGTGCGGATAGTTGCTTTAACATTTTGGATGTTTCTTGGCCATGTAGGTTTTGGAAAAGCATTTTACAATGCTTGGTTATGCCTTCATCTAGCACCAAGTGACTGTGCTTCACTCTAAAATGCTGCGTTAAGCCGTTATCTTCCATCAAAATTTAATGTCATTCGTATCGTCAAAACACGCTGAACATATTGTCTTGCCGTTTACTTTCGCCTCTTGAAATGGTCTATTTGCCAATGACAAAACAATCTGAATCGCATTTGCATTTGCATTCACGGCCATTTTGTTCAATATTCATGAGCAAGAAATGCGTTCCAGTCTTCGCTCGGAAATATGACGCCATGTTGGATACATTAAATGGCAGAGGCTTCCTCAATTTCATTCTTTCCGTCACCCCCCGCGTGCCCACTTCTCTGCCTAGCCCGCTACTTGCCCGCAAGTCAAACTTTAATATATAGAAAGACTTTAATATATAGAAAGAAAACAAAAAAGCCTCTGCGGAGGAGAGTGGTATTTTGCTGTTTTACAAGCATTTTTTTGTTTTAAATTTCGTTAAAAAATTTACAGAAGTACAGCACGGTTTTTTTCTCGATTTGAACTGGAAATAAGCCCGCAGTTTCATGAATTAGTGGCTGTTCAACAACCGTGAAACAAAGTTTGTATAATAATTGTTTTGATGTTTTGATGTTGATGTTGATGTTTTTGATAATTTAATCGTTGTTGTGCCGGTTTGGGTAAGTGTATAAAACATTTCAGTAGTAAAATTCCATGCCGTACTTGCTTTGTATTGTCGGTTTTATTCATATCTGCGAAATTTTTAAGCCATTCTTAAATTAACTCGATAATTCACTTTAATGCAAGCTGGTATGCATGAAATTGCAGTGAATGTTATCGTTCATTATAAAGCAGCGCATTATTTGTGTTTTTGTTTGTTTATAATGGTCTTAATACTTTATGTGGAGTTTTTATACTTCACCTTTTAAGAAAGGCGAGGGGTTGCTGCATGCATGTATTTTCTAGTTAAAGAATAAAGGCAGTTTAGTTTTATAAAAAACACTTTAAAACGTATAGATACAAACTTTGTTCGTTCACTGCAGCCAGGTATATGGGTCTTGATTACAATTCGACTAATTCGACTGTAATCGTTTATTTGAACCAGAGTAGCGAGCGAAACATGACTTTAAAACGTTTTGCGAAGCGTTTGTGGTTGAATTTTAACTTAAATTGAAGCTTATATTACGTATAATATCATACCTAACATAATATGTTGGGAAATTGATAATTTTGTAATTAAAAGTGATATTTTTAAGCGATTTTTCATTTGTATTAAGAAAATTCTTAAAAACTTATCGTGTTACCATGGCAACTACTTTAGATCCATGTTCGGAAAATACAATGGTTTGTCAGCAAGGCGAGGGTGTTTGCATGCATGAATTTTCTAGTTAATAGTGTTGCAGTGTTTCTTGTACGCACACGCTTTCAAAATGTCTTCTTGTGTAGTTGTGTGACTTTATTGCTTTATTACAAAGTTGTTTTTCTCGATTTCTGCTTGGAATATAAACACAACAACCGAATGACTCTTTCACCAGACTTTAATAGAATTAAAAATTAGTTTCTTCAGGAAATTGCTGAGGAATTTGGTAAAATGATATGTAAAACTATATCGTTCGAAATAAAGTTTTAATAACACTTTTTATTTTACAAGTTTCTGAAACACAGTGCAGCGGTCAGAACACCAAACAGCGCAATGAAAAAATGCATGACATCTCAAAAGAAATAGTATCGTTTTTCAATATTTTGTCGATTTTCAAACCAAATTTGCCGAATCATTCTTTTTGAAAAGCATTATTTACTACCCAGGTGGTAAATAATGCCTCAGATTTACTAGTCAACTAGCCAATCATGCAGAACTCGCGAAAGCTTATTTGAGCTAATTTATATATATATTATAAATTGGACAATGCTCTCCCAGAATTTAGTCTAATTTGTATGGCAATCGATTTGAATATTTCGCGTGCGGTACAAAGGTCACAGACCCACATGCAGCTGTCATTTGTACGGCTAAAATATCAAAGGTCATCTTTG